ATTATGGATATCTCTACTTATCTCTTTTAAAACTCTGTTGTTAAATGCATACATATTTAAGATTATTATGTTTTCTTGGTGAAATTACTCTTTTCATTATGCAGTATTTCTTTTTATCCTTGGTAATTTTCTTAGCTTTAACAGTGTACTGTCTGGTATTAATATAATCACTCTAGATTTATTTTTATCAATATTGCATGACATAATTTTTCATCCTTTTGATTTTCAACCTATTGATTTAATTAAATTTAAAATAATTTTGTAGCTAGCATGTAAATGGAGCTTGTTTTTTCCCCTTTGTATTCTGATAATCTTTATCCCTTAATTGCTTCTTTAGACCATTTACATGTCATATAACTTTTAATGTTAGGGATTAGGTTAACCATTTTAATATTTGCTTTCTATTTGCTTCCTGTTTATCATTCTTCTCATCTTCCTTTCCTAACTTCTTTTGCAGAATTTTTAAAAATATGTATTTATTTAATTAATTAATTTAATTTTTCACTCTATAGATTTTTTAAGTGTTAATATTATAGATCGAAATGTTTATACTTTGGAATACCCAGCTAGCTCAGTTGTTACAACATGAGACTTGGAATGTACATATTTATCTTTTCAGTCTACTTAGAATCAATGTTTTTATCACTCAAGAGGAATATAGAAAACTTAGTGACAAATGGGTTCCATTACCCTCCTTCCTTTATTTTGCAGTTTTTATATATGTCAGATCATTTCTCTTGTTGTTCTTTCATTCTTGACATTTAAAGTGTCCCTCTGATACCATTTGGTTTTGTTGTTGTTGTTGTTGTTGTTTTCTGACGATCTTCCTTTAGCAGTGCTTTTGGAACAGACCTGCTGGCAATGAATTATATTAGCTTTCCTTCATCTGAGAATGTTTTTATTCTATTTTCCTTCATTCCTGAAGGACATTTTCACTGTATATAGAACTTTGAGCTGACTGGGTGTTTTTTGTTCTTTTAGTACTTTAAAGATATTCTACTTCCTTATAGAATACATGATTTCTGATGATAAGTCTATAGTCTTTCAAATCATTTCTCAGTAGTCATGCATCATTTTCTCTGGCTCTTTGACCCATTTTTGCCCAGTGGAAACATCTTACAAAACTATAATGGAAATCACAGCTAGCATTATTGAGATTGATATTTATAGTCAAATACAGAACAATTCCATTACTGCAGAGCTAGTATCCTCTCATGTAATTTCTTGCTCTCCTTTGCTTCATCCCTAAACCTTGGCAACCAAGGGTTCTATTCTGTTCTCCATATATAATTTTGCATTTTCAAGAATGTCATGTAAATTATATAGTATGTAACGTTTGGAATGGCTTTTTCACTTTCCATGATTTTATGATTTCCATGATCAAAGATGTTGCATATATCAATAGTTTGTTCCTTTTATTGCTAAGTATTTTGTGACTTATTTTTCATGTTATACTTTGCCTTTATTTGAAAATAACAGTCTTATTATTCAGGGGTTTTACTCACTTTTATATATGCTTTGGAATTTAGAAGCCTGAGGAGCATTCTACTGTTCCTTTTTATATTGAATTTAGGTTAACCAATCATAATGTGTTGACATTATTGTCCTATAGAGGAAAATCCTTTGTACAGATAGATTTTATTGCTTTACTCCCTTTGTATTTCCTGAATTAGACATAAGATCAGAACACATTAGGGAAGGTGCTGTGACTTCATGAATGAATGCAAACAAAGCTATTCCTGGACAGCACATTTGAAAAACAGAGCATTTACATTACAAGTCAAAATTAGGATATTTTTTGTTTCTTTAAGCAACATGGTTTTAGTTCTTCAACCAAAATACTTACTGAAATGATGAGAAGAGGAGAATGGAGACTTTCAGTTTTTACATTGTATGTAATAATGCTGGGAATAGATTCTAAAATATGTTAAATTTTCATCTAAAGAGGCTAGATTTTATCCCAACCAAACATGAAGGAAGGAAGAAATGAAGAAATCATTTAAATGAATTCCAGACAGTTTTTTTTTATTTTTTATTTTTAGTTGTCAATGGATCTTTTTAATTTTATTTACTTATATGCAGTGCTGAGATGGATCTCAGGGTCTCACACATGCCAGGCAATTGCTGTACCACTGAGCCACAACTCCAGCCCTAGACAGTTTTTTTAATCATATATAATAACTAAGTAGAAAAATTAGTAATTTTAAAATGTCATTTCATTGTAATGCATTCTGCTGTCATGTATAAATTTTTAAAATGTCATTTTAACTTTTAACATCAGTGTTATAGTTCATCTTAACAAGTGATAAGTCTGATAAGTCTGTTTATTTGAGGATAAATAAAGGACATAGATATACAATAATAAGTAACTATAATACCATCATTTAATTGCCCAGCTGGCATACTGTTTTTTATTTTGGTTTAAGTAGGTGCACAGGAGAGGAAAAAAGGGTGAGAGATATTAGAGGTTTACAGGTATTTGGCAAACACTGGCATACATTCTTATTTTTGTAAACCCTTGATAAGAACTTTTAAATTATTAATTATTGTGCTGATAGAAAGAACAGAATGAGAATTTTTTAGAAGTTAATCACATAATTATCTTAGTGTTTTTATGTTGATCTAAAATGATTTGTACTTATTTTAACTATTTTTTATATAGTGATCATCTTTAAATATTAGTATAAAAGCTAAAATCTGCTAAATAATGTACCTACTAATCCAGAGCACTTAAAGAAATTCATTGAATGCAAAGATATTTTACTTAATTAGTGATGTTTCTCAACAAACTAAAGAGAAATTTAATATCAAGATTTTTCAGCTGACATATTTAGTGAGATTTGTATGTGGTGCAGATACCTATATTATATTTAAAATATTCTGATTAGCCAGGAACAGTGATTCATGCCTATAATCCCAGTGGCTCAGGAGGCTAAGGCAGAAATTCAGAGTCATTCTCAGCAACTTAGAAGGCCCTAAGCAACTTGGCGAGACCCTCTCTCAAAATAAAAAAAAGAAATGGGCTGGGGGTATGGCTTAATAATTAAGCACCCCTGGGTTCAATTATCAGGACCAAAAATTAATTAATTAATTAAAATTATTCTGATTATAATTAGAACATATACTCTGCTATAGTTAAAAGAGCAGTTTCTAACTCCTTCATGTCTTCTAATATATTCATGTGTTCTTAATAAATTTTCATGATAAATAAAATGTACCCAAATATATAAAACATTTTGCCAAAGTATGCATTTATAATATAAAATATTTACTCTGTATCTATTCTGTATTAAATACATTAAATAGCCTACTACAAACACAGGGGGGGAAGGCAGAATCACAAACATGTAGAGTTTCTCTAAGGAACAGAGTAGAAGAAAAAATATAGTGCCTTAGATATTTGCTTTGGGCACAGTGACATTTGGTTTAGTCTTTCTAGTTTTCTAGTGCAGAAGTGTGTAATGGAAAGGGCTCTGAAGTCAATCAGATCTGCATACAAATTCCAGTTCTTCCATCTAATAGCTGTGTGTCCATGGGCAAATTATTTAACTTCTCCAACCCTCAACTTTTTTGTTTTTTGCTTTTTTCAATTTATAAAGTAGATTGTTATGACTTGACACAGTGGTGCACATCTGCAATTCCAGCAGCTTGGGAGGCTGAGGCAGTAGGATCACGAGTTCAAAGCCAGCCTCTGCAACTTAGTGAGGCCCTAAGCAACTCAGTGAGATCCTGTCTCTAAAACTATTTTTTAAAAAGGCTGGGGATGTGAATCATTGGTTAAGTGCCCCCGAGTTCAATCCCCAGTACCTACCCACATCCAAAAAAAGTTGTTATGAAGGTTAAAAGAAACAAGTTTATGAAACATTTAGCAAAGTACCTGGACCACAGAAATATGTGCTTTGGAAAATAAATGGAAAAAAATCATTTTACTTATAGATATAGCTCTTTTCCTAAAATACTACTAAAATCCTAGTATGCTTATGCAGGTTGAACATTCATAATCTGAAAATCCAAAATTTGAAATTCTTTGAGCACTGACATGACACCACTAGTGGTTCACACCTGACTTTGTGTGACAGGTCATAGTAAAAATGTAGGCACCCTAATAACACTGTAAGAAGTTATGTTCAGGCTATGTGGATAAAGGTATATCTAAAACAAATGAGTTTCACATTTAGACCTGGGTTCTATCCCCAAGATAACTCATTTATATATGTCAATATTTAAAAATCTGAAATTCAAAATGCTTCTGGTTCTAAGCATTTCAGATAAAGGATACTAAACCTATAACTCCAAAATATGTATAATTTCAGAATTATATCTAAATATGCATTGATATCTTAGATTTGTCTAAGACATCTTTGTGTTTTTTTACAAAACTAACTGCTTAATACTTCTATAAAGCACTACTTTTCAACAATGCAGTCCCATATATGTAAAAGAAAAAAAATCCAAATTAAATATAAATTAAATATAATCTGAACTAATTCTTTTCAGATTTCTAGAAGCTAAAATGTTTGTGGCAAATATGTCTCTTTTAATCCCCTGTTCTTTGATTTCAGCAGGAAAGGAAGGGCAAGAAATCCTGGGGCCTGAAGCTCAGGCAGATGATGCAGGATGTACAGGTACTCTTGCCATTTTCTCATACGATAGCCTTTGAAGGAGGTCTTTTGTGCCACCAGTTTTTGCATTTGTGAATCCTGAATTTAATTTATTTCCTCCCCTTTTATCTTGTCCTCCTAAAATGTTTAAGTAGGCATTTGGAGCACTACATGAAAAGTTAGAAATTAATATTCTTTAAATACAATGTAAATTTACAGATTTACATAATATAGCATATTTTGCAATCTATAAGTATGTCCAGTGTAATCTACAAATGATATAAAAACTTTTACAATTTAAATTTATATCAAATTTTTTACCAAAGTTATGGAAATACACATCTATTAACTATATATTTTTTAAGAGAGAGAGAAAGAAAGGGAGGGGGGGAGAGAGAGAGAGAAAGAGAGAATTTTAATATTTATTTTTTAGTTTTCGGCGGACACAACATCTTTGTTGGTAGGTGGTGCTGAGGATCGAACCCAGGCTGCATACAAGCCAGGCAAGCGTGCTACAGCTTGAGCCACATCCCCAGCCCTATTAACTATATTTTGAGTTTCATTATTAGTTTCTAGGATCTGCTTTGAATTGCCCACAAGACAGACAGCAGAAGAGGAAAAAAATAAGCAATTATAAGGGTTATGTACAAACAAGATGAGAATCATGAATATTGCCGAGTTGAGTGAACATATCACAAAAAATACAAGAAAATCAAATTTTTTTCTTACAATTTCTGTATAATTGATTCAGATTAGGATTAAGAAGCAAAAAAAGTAAATGGAAAACTTAAATCATGTATAATTGTACCAGAGACATTTTATTGTGTCCCTCAAGTCAGGTAGAACTATTAGAATATAAAATTAAAAACTGAATTCCAAATTATTAAAACATTCCCCTAAAATATATACTTCAAAGTAGTATATTTTGTGTACTCAGGCATATATTTTTAACTCTTGATATTAAAATTTTCAATTTACCAAAAAGTTAAACAAATGACTGCTTTCCATCTGAATTCAATACTTGTTAACATTTTTGCCGAATTTTCCACTATACATGTATTAGTTGAACCATTTCTTAGTAAATCATAGAAATCATGACATTTCATAATTAATCTCTAATAAATAAGTACCTTTTCTTAAGTAACAAAACTCAGCCTTCATGTATCTCCAATAAACAATGCATTCTCTTATATGATAAAACTGATAGTAATTCCCTAGTAATATATTAGTCCACATTCAGATTTTCTCAACTGTTCCTAAAATGTCTTTTATAGCCTTCTTTAATAAAATTGTTTCTTATATTAGTGCATTATAATTATAGATATTATCAGGTTCATTTTGACATACTCATAAATGCATATAACATAATTTGCTCCTTTTTTATCTCCAATACTACCTCCTTTCCTTCCCTTCTCCCTCCACTTGAGCCTCTTCCTGTACTCTATGCTTCTTCCTTCTGTTAATTTATTTTTTTAATTGGTGCATTATACTTATACATATAAGTTGATTCATTTTGATATATTCATACATACACATAGCATAATTTGGTCAATTACATTCTGCAGTTCCTCTCTTTTCCCATGGTTTCTCCCTCCCCCTCAATTCCTTTCTCGTCTGTGCTATTCTCCCTCATATTTTCACGAGAACCCCCTTTTTAAAATTTCTTCTCTCTAGCTTTTGCAAATGAGAGAAAACATTCAGCCCTTCACTTTGAGTTAGGCTTATTTCACTTAGCATTATGTTCTCCAATTCCATCTGTTTATCAGCATATGACATAATTTCATTCTTCTTTATGGCTGATTAAAATTTCATTGTGTAAATATTCTGCATTTTTAAAATCTTTTTTGTTGAGGAACAGAACACTTAGACCATTTTCTTAACTTGGCTATTGTGAATTGTGCTGCTCTAAACATTGGTATGCATTTATCACTACAGTATGCTCATTTTGTTCTTTTGGATAAATACAAAGAAGTAGGATAGCTGGATCATATGGTAGGTCCATTCCTAGGCTTTTGAGGAATCTCTGTACTGCTTTCCAGAGTGGTACTACTAATTGGCAGTCCCACCAACAATGCATGAGTGTATCTTTTTTTCTTATACCTTCATGAGCATTTATTTATATTCCTGATGATTGCCATTCTAACTGGACTGAAATGAAATCTCTGTGTAGTTTTTATTTGCATTCTCCTTATTTCTGTTTTCATATATTTGTTTGCCATTTGCAGTTCTTCTTTTGAGAAATATCTGTTTAGTTCATTTATCCATTTATTGATTGAGTTATTGGTTTTGATGGTAAATTCTTTGAGTTCTCTGTATATTTGGGATATTAATCTCCTGTTAGAAGAGTTAAAATTATTTTCCCCTCATTTTTAGGCCCTCTCTTCATGATCTTAATTGTTTCTTTTATTGTGCAGAAGCTTTTTTTAATTTAAAGTCATTACACTTATCGATTCTTCATTTATTTCTGGAGCTTTAGGAGTCAATAAGGAAATCAGTGCCTAAACCAATATGTTGGAGTTTGACCCTGTTTTCCTTCAGCAGTTGCAGGGTTTCTGGTCTAACACTTAGGT